GTTGTGGGCAAGGAGAATCCCTGTTTTCCAATATAATGAACATAGAAATTGCTTACACCTGTTTAGCTCATTGGTTCAGTAAGCACTATTTGGGAGAAGAAATTAAGGTTTGAACATTGGTAGCAGTAGTGTGGGGCTCTGTGCCTCTCGGAACGAACCGGGTGGACCTAGACCATTAAACCGACAGAGAAAGACCCGGACCACAATGTGTGGTTGACACCAAAAAAAAAAAAAAAAAAAAAAAGTAAGCAGATCCCTTGTGCACATCGACGGCTTTGTGTGTCTTGTAATACTTTCTCCTTTTCAAAAGTGAATTTTATTATCATATCATTATATTTACAATTTACTCACTATTTTCTAGATAGTATATAAAATAGTCCATCGATTATCTCATAATTCTCAATTTGGTCATCAACTACCAATTCACCCAAAATGGTCCCTCAACCATACAAAAAAGACGTTTTAATACAACATTTTTAGTTCTTGAATTATATCAAAATGGCTAATTCAGTCCCTATTCTTTCCATAGTCAACTTCTTTGCATTACAATTGTTATCATGATAGTTCTTTTTACCTACATTTAGATGAAATTGTTAAAACATAATAGAAGTTTTATAAAGTCTAAAATAAGAAAGATATTCTTGTAATTTTACAATCTCTACTTCTTAATTTCTTGTAGAGGCTTAATTAACCTACAATAATAAACATGCAGTAGTCATTCAATGAACATGCAGTTATGATTTAATGTAATTATAAGTTAATTAAAAGGTTGAAAAAAGATATCAACATATGTGTCATTTAAAAGATCTCAATTAACACTTCTCAATGATCTATTTTTTATACATTAATTTTATTTATACAAAAAAAAATAAGTTTAAAAAAAAAAAAGAATTTAGGAGTAGAAGTATTAATTTATTAAAAATTTAAATTAGAATTCAAAATAATTTTATAATTTTCCTTATATCTCAACCAATCAAAATGAGTTTGTAAAAAAATCACCACCACCACCACCACCACCACCACCACCACCACCACCACCACCACCACCACCACCACCACCACCATCAAAGTACAATTTGGAGCATACAGGCTAGTTGAGAGACTCCACAATTTATCTCATCCACTAGCCTCCCAAGTAAGAAGCATGAGAAAAGCACTAACTTACAATAGATGGTAGATTCAGTTTTGAATTATTTCTATAGCCACTTTTCACATTTCGATTGGTACCAATGTGACATTTTCCACCCACAATTGGATAAATCGTTAAAACATAATTTACAATTTTTCTTGATGAGGTACGTAAATATATTATCAATTAAACAAGTTACATAATTGGAGTGAGGTTAATAAACTATTTATGCACTAAAACACATTTTGTTTTAAAAAAAAAGTATAAAAAGAATTAATACCCAATTTAGTCATGGACTATAGTGTTTTTCTTGATTTAGTCTTAAACGTTTTTTGAACTTAATTGGGTCCTAAACTTTGATGGTTTACCTAATTAAGTCCTCTATTAAGATAACTTGGTAATTTTCCCTCTATTAATAGTTAATACTCAATTTAGTCATCGATTATAGTGGTCTTACAGTACCAATTACAAGGAAGAAACACAATTCCCATTTGTGTGTGACGTATTCACAGTACCACACACAATTGGGAATTGTGTTTCATGTATTCTGCTTTAAAATATAATAATTTTAAAAATAGAAACTCTATTGAGACTTGTGTTTTTTATTTGGTCAACACAAAAATGCAAGTCCCAATGAAATTCTTCTACGATGATTCAATATTTATTTTAGTCAAAACCCCAACACTTCTTCCCTAATCTCTTTATTTTGTAGGTCCAATTCTTTTAACATCACCATATAATCTATTCCCTTATTTTCTCTCCAATCATTCTCATTTTTCTCCCCATTTTGTGGGTCCTACACTCCTCCATGTCATTTATTACTTATTCACGTTCCTATAATTATAATTTTAAATTTATGATTATGATTTGAAATTTTGATTTTAAATCAAACTAAATTTAAGTAACTATAAAATAATTTTTGAATTAAAAAATAATTTCATAATTTAATTTCATAATTTTTTATATGGAACAAAATAAAATTTGAATGCAAATACAAAATATTAAATACTAAACATACCAACAATTAATGCAACAAAATAACCGTTGAGGACAAAAAAAACTCAACGGTCAAATAATCATTGAGGACAAAAAATCAAAAATCAAAAAGTAAACAACAAAATAACCGTTGAGACTGATTTTATTTTATTTTTCTTAATTATGATGGGGACAACTATCTCTCAATAATGGATATTGTGAAATTACAAGAATGTCCCTCTTATTTTAGACTTTATAAAACTTTAATTATGTTTTAATGATTTTCATCCATAGCTAGATGAAATCCATAGCTAGATGAAAAGAGCCCTTTTGATAACAATTGAAGGGTGAAAAGTGGCTATGAGAAAAATTCAAGAATTATGTGAGTTATTATGATATAATTCAAGGACTAAAAAAGTCATTTTTCCTAAATAAGTATGATTTTCATTCATTTCATCTTCTTTCAAACTCAATCACACATTAAATAATATGCATGACTACTCATTGGGCTTACTAGGCTTGTTTTCAACTTTGGTCCGCTGATTGATCTATTTTTCTTAAATCATGATGATCATATGTCTTTAAAGTCGGCATGTTGGGTTCTCTTTCGTAACTTTATGAAATTATTGGTTTGGTACATACACCAACGGATCTCTAACGCTTCCCTCTTGATTTCCATCGTATAACCCCAACAATACTGAGTAGAAGTACTCCTTTTGTCTCGATTTGGTTTTCGAGTTACTTTTCACACACTTTCTAGGCAAGAAGCAAAATGTCACTTTTCTTTCGATTTTTTCCTGCTTTATTTGACTTTTCTTTGACAATTTCATCTACTAAAAGAATATGAGAAAACCTATTCACGCTACTTATTTTTCTTTTCTCTCCTATTGACGTTATTCCTCTCTTTCTCCAAATAAGCTACGCATTCTACAATTCATAATCATAGATTTTTCTTCCACGAAAAATAGCTAACTTTTGGAATTCGTTGAACGTTATCTACATCATTATAGTCAGATTTTTCAAAAAATTTGAGATCGAGACTCACATCTCTTCAAACTGGTGAATATATGAATATGGAGTTTGCGATTGAATTAGAGGCATGGATCTTGCAATCTTTCAATTCAGTTAAAGAATCGATGTCAAGGTTAGTTTTCTACACTCTATATAAGAGATTTTTCTCAAGATAGTGATTTTGAAGATTATACTATTGAAAAATTAGTTATCATATAATTTAGTGGTGTTTTTTTTTTTTACATACAATTTGTTTGAATCTTTTATCTTGAAAATTGAAATACTTGAAATTTTTATTTTTTGTAAATTTTTTTGCTCAACCTATTAAGCACAAAGAGTCAAGTCTCTGTTCAAACATACTTTCTCAACATATTGAAGCAGAAAGAGTCAACAACACCTCTACTGAAGCTCGATCTCATAACCTCCCATATGGGAGATGTCACTACATGTCATCTAAGCACCAAGCACAAGGTGCTTGGCTAGTCAATTATTGTTTAGAATTATGAGAAATTCATATAAGGATAAAGTTAGAAAAATGAAATGATAGTGATGTTAATTTTAATTGTTTTTAAGTAAATATTTTGGGACAAACTAAAAAGAAAAATAGAATATGTAAAATGAGATAGAATTGAAGGAGTAATCGTAAAGAATTTGAGTGTAAGAAATGTTGCAATAGTTAGGATATGAACTTGGGGTTAGCATATTTGTGTTGCAATTGAGCAAAGGGTGCAAGAGATTAGTGGTTTGATGTTGCATGGGGTGACTTAAGATTATAAGAGCATTTAACCGCAAGGACCTTGTGGTCTAGTGACACTAAGTTGCTTTCCTATATAAAAGGTTGTAGGTTCGAGCCTCAGTGAAGACGATATGACTCTTTGTGCTTAGGTAAAAGTGCTTCAACTTTCAATGTGCAAACTAAATAAATCTAATGCAAGAATTGTTGAGGAAGAGTTTTGGTTGGCAATCACTATTAATCAAATTTTGAATCATTAATTTGTTGTTTAAGGTTTGAAGAGGGTTTTGTGAAGGTGAATGCATGTGAAGGGTAATTCTGAGGGGCAACCCTAGATTATTGGTGTGATTGGTATTGTTAGGATTGCTCAAGGTGATTAGTTAATAGAATTGTTTTATTGGGTTGGAATGACTTATAGTCTTAGCTTATTGTAGAATTATATGTTATTTATATAGACTCATACTATATATATTGGTAGAAAGGTTATACAAAAGTTTAATTGGAGGGTGATTCAGTAGTTGTTGTTTAGGAGCTAGGTCAAAGCATAGGACCAGGCTACACAAAAAGAATAACATTTTCATCTCGTTGAGGCTATAAGAGCCAACGTGATTGGATGTGATGAATTACAAATACTCATAGGGAAGCTAACACGCGCAAATTAGATGGCATCTTCCAAGGCCTCTCACCATCTTAGTTTGAACATTATCCTACTATTCCAATGAAAAACTCACTTTTTTGAAAGTGAAAAAGTATTGCAGGTATAAGAATAACCTTAGAGTCACACAAAAGAACCACACTTTCATACCACTGATGTCATAAGAGTTCAACGTTATTGAATACGATAAGTTACAAATATTCATTCGGAAACTAACATGTGTCACTTGGTTTGAGTATTATCCTAGTATTCCACCGAATAGAGTCCAGCAATTGCTCTTTGAGGATGCACTTGGGATTTGCTCATTCCAAGTTCATCCCAAAAAAAAAAAAAAAAAAAAAAAAAGTGTAAATATGAAATGTGGGCAAGTAGCGTGCCAGAATAAGAACAGCAAAAAATAAAGGGCGAAGAATGCAAAATCCGGCCAACAACAAAAAATAAGATTTGGACAACAGCGGGAGTGCACGTGTCGTGTCCCTCCCATCTTCAAACAGTAAACAACGCCATTATATGGTAAGCCCAACGGCTAGTCCCAACGGTCGGATTATTCGACCCCTACATTACACCCTCCCCTTCCACAGAGCAGAGCCACCATCCCGTCCCCGAAAAGACGAAACCTTTCGCCATTTCCTCTATCCACAGCAGCGATTTGTGAAGATGTTGCAGGACATGGTGAACAACGCACCTCCCGGTTTCCGTCCCTCAAAGTCCGCTCCCGCTTCACCGGCCAAGCCTCTCGCCGGCGGCCTTTCCAGAATGCGCTCTGACTCCTTCCATATCACTCACAAAGTCCCTGTTGGTGACACCCCTTATGTCATAGCCAAAAACGTCCAAGTAAGTAATCATCCTCTTGAGACTATGGAATGTAATTTGGGTTTGATTTAATGATTGGTTTTGGTTTGGAATGATCAGTTGGTTGATAAGGATCCAGAGAGGGCGATTCCGTTGTTTTGGGCAGCCATCAATGCCGGAGATAGGGTGGATAGTGCCTTGAAAGACATGGCGATTGTGATGAAGCAGCAAAACAGGGCGGAAGAAGCCATTGAAGCGATTAGATCATTGAGGCACCGGTGTTCGGATCAAGCTCAGGAGGCTCTGGACAACATTCTCTTGGATCTCTTCAAGGTCTGTGATTTGGGTGTATCAGTGGGCGTGCACTTCCTGTGTGTGTCCCGTGTGTCTTGTGACTCTAACCAGTAAAAGATCACAACTTTGACTGTTTTTATTTTTATTTTTATTTTTTTTCAGAGATGTGGGAGATTGGATGATCAGATTGCACTTCTGAAGCACAAGTTGTTCTTGATCCAACAAGGGCTGGCCTTCAATGGGAAGAGAACAAAGACTGCTAGATCCCAAGGGAAGAAGTTCCAGGTTTCTGTGGAACAAGAAGCAAATAGGTTACTGGTATGTATATTTGATATAAGAAACAGTGAATTATTGTTGATTTTAAGTTTTAACAATGGGGGTTTAATGATTGATGCAGGGGAATCTAGGGTGGGCATTGATGCAGCAAAACAAATACAATGAAGCGGAAGAAGCTTACAGAAGGGCGCTAGTGGTGGCGCCAGACAACAACAAGATGTGCAACCTGGGAATCTGCCTGATGAAGCAAGGGCGGATTGGGGAGGCGAAGGAGAATCTGCGGCGGGTGAGGCCGGCGGTGGCGGACGGGCCCAGAGGCATGGACTCTCACCTGAAGGCGTACGAGAGAGCCCAGCAAATGCTCCGGGACCTCGAGTCAGAGATGATGATCAAAGCCGGCACCGACCGGCTTCAACAGAGCAAGGTGTTTGAGTCCTTCCTCGGCTCTTCTGCAATCTGGCAGCCACAGCCGTGCACTGAACATCATCATCATAACATTAACACCTCCTTCCCAATGCCCACAATCCATGATGTTGATCAATTCCCTGACGAGAATCTCAATTCTTGTAACATAATCATGAACAACAACCAAAGGAGAAATGTAGGCAAAGCACTCACCTTTTGCACTGTGATGAACCCACTGAACAGCCACGCCCCACCATTCTACTCGGCCCAGCAGCCATTTGTTGGTGCTGCTCAGTTGCCTGAAAGACTCAAGAGAACAAGATCAGGAAATGGTGTTATTATCAACAGTTTCACAGAAGAAAATAATAAGGTGATGAGAAAGCAGGAGGAGAAGGAGGAGGATAAAGTTGTTTCTGCAGAGGGATTGTTGCTGCCAGATAGCAAGGAGTTTGAAGATGCGATTATTGCTGCAGTTCTGGGATCAGATGATACTGAAAGCTTGAAGCCAGAAGCAATAAGAAAGGTGGACAAGAGGCTCAAGGTTTTCCAAGACATCACCTTGTCATCTCTCAGTCCAAAAGGAGGAGTCTAGTATAGTGAAACTAAAACATTAGTTTGAGCAAATGTCATAAATTATACAGGGCGGCGGGGAGATGAGCTTGTTCTCCTTTATATGGTTATTTTTATTCATGTTTAACTTTATTGGAAGAGAACAATACAAAGATATTACAATTTTCATGGTTCATTTTCAGTAGCAATTATTGTTCTTGAGTCTTTGGGGGTGTGTGTTCAGTACTAGGCGTAATAGTAACTTAGGATTGCAACTGCAGCTGCAACTGCAACTCCAATCACAACTCTCCCGCACAACTTAGTAGAGGAAGGTGGTGAAGTAAAGCCCAGCTCTGACAACTTCTTGTGAGACTCTGCATAATCTCTGAAAAATGCCTCTTCATCCTGATCAATTAACCAATCATTGAGATAAAAATGATTGACAATTAACCAATCAAAGATTTCAAACTTATAACAATTTTAACTATATTTAAATAAATTGTTATACCAAAAAAAAAATAAAAAATGTTAGAGGTATTTAAATTGGATGCTACAGCATACTCCCTCCATTCTGGATTTATCTCGTAATTTTTTTTTACTTGATGGCCAATTTATGAGCAACCAATGAATATAAAAAAATTGTATTGTCTTAAGATGAGGAGAATTCAAGAAAAAAAATGCTATTTTTCTTAAATGATATCAGGTAGGTAATGGTCAAGCTGAACTTTCCTTAGAAAGTGTATTGATGTTTAGGGTTTACAACTAAATTATGCACAAATTTTGTAATTGCCAAATTTCTTTCAATTCGTTGGCAACAAATACTTCAATTTTTTTCATTATTAATTTTCTTTTGAAATTTGAATTTTCGTGTACAATCTTATTATTTGTCCGTTGTTTACATGATCATCAATTACCTAATATTTAGTGGATTACATCGTCATCAATTACCTTATGATAAGATGGGATCGACCAATTTATACGTGACCAATGAATATAAAAAATTGTATTACCATAAGATCAAGTGAATTCAAAGAAATATAATATTATTCTTAAATTATACCCGTTAGGTAACGCTTTCAAAAAAAAATACCCGTTAGATAACGGTCAAGTCAGACTTATCTTAAAAAGTATTTGTTATTTTAGAGATTACAGCTAAATTATGCACAAATTTTGTACAAATTTTGTGATTGTCAAATTTCTTTCAATTCCTTGATAATGAACACTTCATTTTCTTTTGAAATTCGAATTTTCATGTACAATCTTATCATTTGCCACGTTGTTTACATTTTCATCAATTATCTATTATTTTAGTGGATTATAAATATCCTAAATATACACAAATTTTCAGCCCATTACCAATACAGAATTTACCTCGGCATAAAGTAGCACATACTGGCGGAATTTAGGATCTTCCATCAGAGCTTTATCCGTGGGCAGTTTTAATAGGTCATCAGAATCTCCTTTAAGAAGTTCCCTGCAGATAAATGACCCAAAATGGATTCAGCAGAGATGAAAAGCACAAGTTATGCAATCAACTTTGTACTAAAAATCTTACACAAAATATGAATTATCAAATTTCAAAGGCTCCTTGGTCCACTGGCCCTCAAAGCCTGATCTGTCCCTGTGAGCTTTTCCCTGCATGGCAGAACCCAAAAACAAGCAATAAATACTGATATCCGTTACCCGGAGTTAAGCTCAGGGTGCATATTAAAACTATACCAGTGTGTGGCCTCCAGACAATGCCACAATATCCTTGTCAGTTAAGCCCATTCTATGGAAGACACTTCTCAGGTGAGATGGACCTGAAAAAGTATTAACAAAAAACTGAAGCATTAATACAATATTGTTAAATGCTAGCATTAGGAGCTCAGTTGGTTCTTAGGTGACAGATTGTCGACAGTGTGGAGTTACACTTAATGTGGTGAGCTCCATATGAACACTTGCTGACAATGGTCCTTTTATCTAATAGGTCGTTGAATCACAGTGATTTATATTCTTCCACTGTCCCGTAGGGTCAGGGTGTGAGAGCTTGGGGGAGGAAATTTTGCCTTTTGTGAGCAAGAAAGTGTAGATCAATTGAGAGCAGGGTTGTAAAAATCCCGCCTAGACACCGAGTAATCGGCGCCTAGGCGCTAGGCGCCCATAGGCCGTGGCGATTTCCGCCCTAGGCTCCCGCCTAGGAGACCGGCCGCCTAGGCGCCCGCCTAGCGCCTAATTCAGCCGCCTAGCGCCTAACTCGTCCGATTACGTCGAGTTAACTCGTCAATTTCTGTCGAGTTAACCCGACCGACTCGACCTTGCTAATTTTTTCCATTTATATGACATATACATATAATATGACATATATACACTCGTAGACTAGTTTGATACTTTCAATCTTTGGATGATTGAAGTATTTGGGTATTTCATTTGAGTTTTTTTTTTTTTTTTAATATTCTTTTGATGTTATGACTTATGAATTGTCATTATGTCATTTATTTGGATGTGTTATTTGTTTGAAAGTTGAAAACAACCTCATTAAATTGTCAAATTGCAAGTCTGCTACTGTTTTTTTCGCGACCGCCTAGCGCCGCCTAGATTCCGCCTAGGCGCCGACTAGGCCGCTTAGGCGCTAGGCGCTGCCCTGGCACCCGACTAGCACCCAGCGCCTACTGCAACCATGATTGAGAGTAAATGCAGCATGATGACCTACCTTGTTTGGCATCAGGAAGGCGCCCTTCTTCTGGTGACTCCAATGAGTCCTTAAAGAATATAATAGCTTATAAACGTGTTAGTTTGTTCTAGTAACATGAAAAATTGAAGTAACAAAGCTACTAAATTACAACATTTTTCACCATTAATGTACCTTTCTACCGGGGACGAAATCGATGATAGGACCTCCAGTGACCTCAACAGCAACAACCCCAGCAAGCTACGCCATCATAACCAATCCTCCCCAGGCAAAAGGAGATACAGAAAGAGGAGATTAATTAAAAAACATAGTATAAAAAGGATTATGCTTTTTGTACATGAATGCACTATATTCCGTCCACCAGTATTTTTGGTCAAACTAGTATTAGCAAAATGACAGTTTTTGTCCTCATGTTTAATTACTACAAATTTTTATTCACGACTTTTGTTTTCGTACCAAAATTGATCACGCCGGTCACCCCTCCGACTAAAATATACCAGATTGTATAATTTGTAAAGGTATTTTCATCCATCTAAAAATGCAAAATGCTCCAAACTTTGGCATATTATACCTGATTGGATGAAAATAATAGGTGTGGATTACAATTGGTAGTAATTACATATGTGGAACAAAACTGTCATTTTGCTAATAATTGTGTGATCAAAATTGGTATTTACTCATTTATGTGTGTGTCTATAGACACTTACTTAAACCTCATTGAATACTTGCAAATACGGATGAGATATCAAACTATAAGTAAATGTTACTCCGTATTAATGTAATATTTTTGAAATATCTAAATCATTTTAATGTAGAGTACTCAATTATCCTCTTCTACTTATGCTTATTTATGATTTTTGTTTCATTATCCACAAGCAAATTTTTGAACCAAACACTACATAAAATAAACATACAGCGAATATTGAATTATATTTCAAAAATCAACCACACAAAAGGAAAAAAAATAAAATAAAATTATTTCACCTGGTAGAGGTCAGCATATGTAATTTTTGGATGATAGGTTTTTACTTCCTCTGATGTCAAATATAGAAAAATAATCAAAAATCAGTCATCAAATTCATATGTTCAACCATGCATACAAATTCAAGCTAATGAATCTTACCGCAAATATCAATTGCAAGTTTCAATCCAGCATTGGCAGCATGCGTGTATTCTTCCGGATTTCTAATGGATCCATTAGGACCTCCAGTCTTCGTAAAGGCATCATACGTGCCGGCATCATGCCACCTGCAAATAATTAAGGTACCTCGAGCTCAACAAACATGAACACATACAAGATGAAATTCCAAATTCTCAATTCAGTTAACCAAACCGGCCAATACTAACTTCACGGAATTGAATCGAAAACAAAAAATATCAATCACGAATTCATCATTAAATTTTTTGTTTAGATTTCAAATTTCTAATTCAAATGCCGATTGAGAAGTAGCTGCAGGATTAATCAGCTGATTTCGAAAGGAGATGAGAGAGAGAGAGCATACGCCAAGCGAAGCATGAGAGGAGCAATGTTCATGCTGGAGATGACAGATCGGAGATCTCCCCTTGTCAGCTCTATTTCCTTCAGATACTCGGCGTCCACTGCTGGTGCTACCGCCATTGGATCAGAGCTCGAGAAAGTAAAATGATGAAATAATCGGTGCGCGGTTTTATTCAACTGAATCGCAATGCTTACAGGTATACGATGAGATGACTAGATGAAAGTATGTATTCGTATATATAGAGAGGCGGAAAGAATAGAAATGTATAAAGTGCAGAAGCAATGTATATAGAATTGAAGAAGACAAGCAAAGAATCGAATTCATCTTCCATTTGGAGGGAAAATGAAAGGATGACGTCAATAAAAAAAGGACTTTTTACTTTATTGATTAGAAAAAAAAAATGTAGTATTTTTACTGAAGCATAAATACTCAATATCATCTCCAATTCATAACCTCTTATTTGAAAAAGTCATTTTGTGTTACTAAATTATAAGATCATTTGCCTTATTTCAGGACTTTAAAAATAATATATCATTAAATTTACAATTAATTACTATTCGTTCTCCATTCATGAAATTCTTTTTTTTTTTTTTTTTTAAGTGATCTCACTTTCACATCACCTTATAAGATTTTTATTTTTGCATGCTGAGTGGTTCATACTCATGCATGCAAAGCTATCCCTATGACGCCCATCCATATATATAATCTTCTCTCACTCTCAAAGTGGTACTTTATATATCATTAAATTTGTAATTTATCACTATTTATTATTTATGCAATTCTCTTCCTTCTTTCAAGATTGGTCTTACTTTCACATAACGTTATAATATTTTTTTATCAATAAAATAATAAGAACAACAACCACCATTACCACTTCTAACTTTACGTCCTCTACTCTTGATACACCCATCCATATTTAGTTTTACACAACCTTCTTGTCGCTTAATTAATAAAGAGTGTAGATACTAATCAAACAAAAATTTTAATATAATAATTACTGTAAATAAATAAATAAATAGTATTAGT